CTTCCTTCCTTCCTTCCTTCCTTCCTTCCTTCCTTCCTTCCTTCCTTACTGTTTCTGAAACAGGGTCTCACTCTGGCTGGTGCGGAGCTCCTCCTCAGTCCACAGCGATCTGCCTGCCTCCACCTCCCCGAGTGCTGGGGCTAAAGGCCTGTGCCAGCACACTTAGTAGAGCTAGCCACACTTAAAACTGCTGCCTTGAAGGGTTCCTCCCCTCACCTCAGGCCTCAGCTGTGCAGAGTGGACAATTCTCAAGGCTTCCCCTAATTATTACAGTGTGGCATCCAGATGGTAATTTAAAACGTCAGTTAAAAATTTGCTTTTATTATATGTAGTTGTCAGTTACCAGGAAGAGAGAGCTAAGGAAGGTCCTGCGGGGTGAAGCATGTGAGGTTATGGAAAGAACATGAGGTGCCAGCCTCAGCTACCCACTGAGACCTCTCAGCTGGGGACGTTCATCACGCTTCTCCAAGTTTTTGCCTTCTGGAAAGAGTACATTCCCTTCTGTCACTGAGAATGCTATAAGATTTCGGATAGCTGTCAGTGCGCTCACCTGCACACACAATGCACAAATGTATGCGTGTGACAGGGTCGTGACTTAGATTAGAAATCAGCTCATATGCAATGTTGCTCATACATATATGAATATAGGCACGCATACTCTGTCTGCGACTGTTCTGGATACATGCATACATGTGTATATAAGTACACACATGCCATCCACCCTGTTTCCACTGCCCCATAGACGAACAAGGTTGACTTACCCAACTCTGAGCTCTGGGTCTGCTCTGGTCTCTACTGTCCCTGTCCTGGAGTCCACTGAGGTCCTGCTGAGATCTCTTGTTCCAGCCACTCATGGCCATCAATTTCAGTGGCAAAGGTCCTGAGCCCTGAGGTCTTTTCCAGCCAAAGACCTCTGTCAGCTCGCCCGTGCTGTCCAGCACCCGAGGTCCACACAGGGCACAGCAGAGTCTCGGTGGCTTCTGCAGCCCTCAGGGGCTTTCTCCTAGATGGTTCATCCCAGCCCTTTCTCCACCCTGTATCCCCCAGTGTCCTCTGAAGAGCTGTGTTTGAAGGGACCAGTATTGGCCCAGGACACTCCAATACCTATTTCCCAGAACGAAGATTTTATTTGCCCCGGAGGGACAGAGGGCAGGGATAAGAGACAAAGACAGGAGATAGAGGACAAAGGAGAAGGGGAAGGGGACAAGATAGAAGGGGAGGGGGTCTTTGTTCTGGAGGACAAAGGACCACCTCTGGATGGGGAGGAGGTAGAGGATAATGTGGAATCAGTTCTCCTCCAGGGCTTGAACTCAGATCACCAGGCTTGCTGGGCATGGACAGTTACCTGCTAAGTCATCTCACTGGGCCCTTCGCTCTGTTTTTGTGGAATGCCTAGAATGGGGAAATGTCTGAACATCTGCTAGTATTGCCATGGGCTTAGGGAACAAGGAGGCTTGCTAATGGATTTAGGGCTTTTTAGAATGCTGAAAAGGTTTTGAACTTAGTGTTATGGTTATCCAGTGAATGTGCTAAAAATCACCAATGAATTATCTCAGTCAGATGCTTATGAAATCCTTTAGACTCAAACTCAAATGTGCACGGCAGTGCATTTGCAGAAAAAGGAGTTGTATGACCGTTTTAAATTAAGTCAATTTGGTGATTTTGATTCAAATGGATAATCTGCAAAACTCAACCAGTTGCAAGGAACAGCTACACAGTGGCACACTATCAATTATCTAGTGTCTGTTTCAGTTAGTTCTCCTGGGAATCAGGAGACTGAGCCCCACCCAGCCGACCATCCCCCTGCCCCCACTTCCCCCTCTGAAATGATTGGTGGAGCCTCTTTTTCCAGCCTCACCGAGGACATGACATGAGGTCATGACATCAGAGACATATTAAGAAGCCAAAGAATGAAGGCCAGCGACATGGCCCCGCACATAAAGGCTCTTGCTGCCATGCCTGATGACCTGATTTCAATTCCTAGAACTCAAGTGGTAGAAAGTGAAAACCAACTCTTGTAAGATGTCCTCTGACCCCCACAGATCATGTCACCCATGTGCCACTAAAATAAGTGTAAGAAAAAAAATTCAGTTCCTGAAGAGGCTGCAGGGGGTTGATGAAGGAGTCCTTTTAACAGCTTCATCTCTCCTTTGGGATGTGTTTAGCCCTCGTGCGTCCTTTCATGACTGTGAGGCAATGAACAGAGCAAGGGGGCCCAGTTTGGTGTCAGTAAGGACATCCCAATGAAGATGTGCTGTGTGCACTGAGGCAGAGGAACGCTGGCCAAGTGGAGGTGATGATGACCCCCGCCCCCCATGCTCGTCTCTGCAGAGAAGCTTTGAGCCAGATTGGTTAGGAAAGCACTGCTTACCCTGTGCTTCACCAGCATTCCCAGATCGAGGCAGCTTCCGGAAGTGTGTTCGGAAGCCACCCTAACTACTGCTCCCTTGCAGCTTTACAAGAGGGTTTAGATGTATCACGGACTCCCCGTATTGTACCAGCGATGTCATAAAGTCAGAGAGAAGTGGTGGCTGGCTCTTGGATGCCAGTGCTCCTGGCTGGCCGTGCGTACAGGCTTACCACTCACCGCATTTCCTCATGATAGCGCAGCCCCAGCTCTCCTGAGACTGAACCCTTCGTGCCACTCAGGGTCCTAGGACTCTACTCTCTCCTTGTTTCGTTTGCCTTTTATGAAACCTTCCCTTTAAAGATTGGTTTTAATCGTGTGTGTGAGTGCATGTGGCCGCAGAGGTCAGAAGTAGGCATCAAATCCTGTGGACCCGGAGTGACAGGTGTTTGTGAGCCACCTTATGTACATGCTGGGACCTGAACTTGGGCCCTCAGGAAGAGCAATGCATGCCCTTAAACAGTGAGCCATGTCTCCCGCCCCACCCCAAGCCTTCTTCAGCTGCTTTCAGCTCGCATTAGCATTTACACATAGTTTTAAAAATTTTTAGAATTGTGAAATATTTTGTTATTTTTTACTTCATATGATTTGGTGTGCACTTCCACAGAAAACTGTGTTTTCTCTTATGTTGATCCTGTGATAAACTGATAATACATCTACCATGGTGTATTTAATCATTTCTCATGTTCTCAGAAGAAAACACTTGCGTTGAGCCTAGGATTTTTGTCTACCATTTACAATGGCTCAGATCAACTTCCCCTCAGTCACAGTGAGGTTCCTCATGCGATTTCTGTCTGTCTGTCCTGTGCTGGTTCACTTCCAACAGAATTGCTATTCATAGGAGTGGGCAGAACTGGTTTTGAATGTAGATTGTTGAGCCCAGTAACACACCTGTCTGCCTGAACTCATGGTAGTGGGCTCTGAGAATCAATATGTTTAATTGAGAGATTTTTGTTGGCTCTGTTTGAGATTCACCTGCAAGTTCATCTTCTTACAGAGGCTGTTGGGTGATGGCCCTGATGTCACTCACTCATCCAGTCCCATGTGGCTCTGGGCCCATTTATCTCAGAACATGCCATCTCTTTTCCTGCTCTAGCATGGAAGGACACTGGGTGCAGGCTGGGTGATCTTTCAAAGTGCCTGCCCAGGTATTTGAGCCCCTTTAACTCCAGAACCCCTGCTCTTAACTACTTGACTACACCAGTAACAGATGCTCAGATTCTAGCCTCCCTGTACCCAGGACCACAGCCTACCCGCAAACGTCAACTCTGCATTGGTGCCATGGTGACCCTGGGAAGGCCCTGTCATCCTAGCCTCTGACTCTGTATGGAACCATCTGCTAAGAACAGATTGAACACCTGAAATGGCCTGTGGGACAGTAATGGCTTCTCCTCATTTCTCAGCAGTCAGAGTCACCGGGAGACTCTCCTGACCTTGGTGAGAAGCCAGCAGGAAAGTTTGCCTGGGCCAGGCCAGTGGTACACAGAAAGACGAGGACAGCCAGCAAGGTGCCTGTGTGCTGAAGAGGGTGGATACCATGACCCATGTGTGGGTGTCCTGGGGTGTCAGATCCTTGAGTAATGTTAGTGTCTGTCCAACCACAGGCTGGTGACAATGGAGAGGCAGGTCTAGACCCACTCAGAAAATATGTGTTGAGAGTCTAGGCCTTAGACATATAACGAATTTCATGTGTTCTCTCCATTTAAAATGTTTTCTTTTTGGGGGGGATAGGGGTGGGAGTTTGAGACAGGATTTCTCTGTGTAGCCCCGGCTGTCCTGGAACTCACTCTGTAGACCAGGCTGGCCTCAAACCCAGAGATCTGCCTGTCTCTGCCTCCCAAGTTCTAGAAGTAAAGGCATGGGCTGCCACAGCAGGCTCTTCTTTCAAACCTAAAGAATTTCTGGATTGACCTCAAGACTTATGCTGTGTGTGGTAAATGAAAAGGAACACAGCATCACTCTGAAGGGGTCTAGGGCTGCCCGTGTGAGAAGCAGGAACGGGCATGGGGGGACAAGTGCCTTTCCTTTTGGTCCTTATGGCCCGAGCCTCTAGGAAGAGCAGCAGTGATGGGGCAGGAGGCAAGGAATGCCCTAGAGTGACCTCTTGCTGACTTTAGAGTCTAATTTTGATCCAGCACAACGAGAACCAAAGGATCCTGGGAATTTTCAATTCTTGTTGGCGTTTATTAACTTAGTAAAGCGCCACAAAGATATTTGCCTGGGAAGATCAGAGCCTGGCTGAGAAGTACAGAATCTAATGATGCTCACTGCCCAGGCAGTGAGTAAGAAGGGCCCCCCTTGGTCACTGGGCATCTTGGCACTGGGAGGAGTTTTATGAGCATTTAGGCAGAACACTACAGAAAAGAGTTGTCAAACATTTTCGGTAAACGCTCACATGTTGAATAATCTTGTCAGGTCATATGTCTTTGTATAAATGGCACAGAGATGATTGGGAATGGCTCTTTTCCAATAAAACTGTGAGCTGGGCAGAAGGGCCTGTTTGGCTGCACACTGCTGACCCTGAAGAAGAAAGGACATTGGCCTTACAGATGAGCTCAGATGGGTTTAAACTCTAGTTTTGGCCCTCTACGAGCTAGGTGAGAAACAGGTGGATTGACCATGAGGCTAAGTAGCAGTTAGGAACTTGGGTTCTAGCTGGGCATGGTGGCCTAACCTTTTAATCCCAGCACTTAGGGAGGCAGAGGTAGTTGGATCCCTGTGAGTTCAAGGCCAGCCTGGTCTACAAAGCAAGTCCAGGACAGCCAAGGCTACACAAAGAAACCCTGTCTCAAAAAACAAAAAAGAACTTGGGCTCCAGGAGCAGAGGGCTTTGGCTCAGAGTTCAAATCAAGTCTGTACCATCATGAGCTGTTTAACTTTAGGAAAAAAAAAATTTTTCCCTCAGCCTCAGAAAGCTGTGATGACAGTACATGAGAGAATGCTAAACTCACATTCTGTATATCTGTACATGCCTCTGTGTTTCCGTGTTAAATAGGTCGAGCACAGTGCCTGGAGATGGTAAGTATCAATAAACATTAGCAGTTATGCCTTGGAGTCTGTGAACAGGAGCACTTCTCCCTGTTAAATGAGAATGATACTGGAATCCAAATCCCCTTGGTGTCCTTCACATCTAACTTGCAGCCAGCATGGTAAGAGGCACAGGACCCTGGGAGTTGTCAGTTCTTGTTGGCATTTATAAACTTGATGAGGCCCACAAGGACAGCTGCCTATAAATGCTTACATAAGTTAGAAATCAAGAGAAGCTTTGGGATTTGATGGTGTTGGCGCTCCTACTGTCGAGCCTGTTCTAAGCTCTGTCCCTTCACCCAGGGCACACTCCTGTGCGGCCTGCCCACCTGTGTCAGACACCACTCCATTCTGAAGCTCTTTCCTCCATGCAGCCTGTGTCCTACAGCTCCACCTGTGTGGATGCCTCCACTAAACTCTTTAAGATGTGCCTTCTTGAACAAAATCTTTTTGTCAGTGGTCCGAAGTAAGGATTAATAGTCAAAAGGACGACTTTTAAGTTGATGGCGTTGCTACTGTATATTGTTGACCAACCATCTTCATCCTGAGAGCTAGTTCAGGTTGGTGTTTATTAGCGTAGTGGAGTCTCACAAAGAGGACTGCCTGTGGAGAGCCTGCGGAAGATGATAGCAAGAAAAGTCAAGATGCCGGGCCTTGTCCATAAATGCCCCCAGCTCTAATGCGCATGAATTTCCCTTCTCTCCATGATACACAAGACTTGGCGGACTCACAGGCCTTCAGGAGAATGGCCTTCCACATGGGAGAGGTGCTTGAGCAGCGGGACCATGGGGGAGCTGCAGGAGGCATAGCTGTCCTTACTCTCTCCCTCTCTCCCCCTGCCCCCATGCACATGCACACAAACACATACACCAAATTAGCAAGCATGTGAGAGAACAGGCAGGCTGCATGTTTGGACGCTGGAAGAATTCAGAGGACTGAGTTGAAGCAGACAGTGTCTACAGATCTATTTGTCTGTCTAAGCACCTGTCTGTGTGCGCCTGTGCGTGTGGATCTGCGCATGTGTGCACACACGTGCACATGATGCGTGATGCTCCCACTCCCACGTGTGATGCTCCGTGTGCTCATGTTGGAGATTCTATCAGCAGCTAAAGGTTCGGCCTCCACAAGCTGACAAGTCACTAACTTCAAATCCATGGTAATGAGTTAGCTGTTTCTGCTCAGCTGTCGGCCTGTGAGGCCCCTGTTTTTGGTCTGGATGGTGGAAAGGTACCTTTGAGCCTTTGCTAGGAGTCGCTGTTATTCCAACAGGAACGGTTTGCCTCTGGGCCCTTCCCTGTTCCACCCACTGGCTCCATCCCTGCTTCTCCTCTCTTCAGAGGCGGCCGCACAGAGACGGGACTTGCTCTGAAACACCTTCTCGGAGGGTTCCCTGGAGGCAGACGTGGCTCTGTGCCCCAGCTGCTTATCATCATCACAGATGGCAAGTCCCAGGGGCCGGTGGCTATTCCAGCTCAGCAGCTGAGAGAGAGGGGCATCGTCGTGTTTGCTGTAGGGGTCCGGTTTCCCAGGTCAGTAACTGCCTCAGTCATTCCGCCTCACCCTCAAGCAGTGGGGCCAACGTGACTGAAAGGGCCTTCTGGGGCCTCCACTGCCGCAGCCAGCTTCAGGGCGAGGTGCACGGCCTGGTGCTCTCTGCTCCTGTTTTGCTGCTGGGTCTATTGTGTAGCACATTCCTACCTTTAAAAGCATTGCATGTCTGTGCTGCCCTGTGCTTTATCTGAACATTTGGTCATAAGCATCAGAAATTAACTCAAACCCATTTGACAAAAGTCGAAATCAGCGGAGTCATGTCATTTCCCCAGCAGCCATGGGTGTCATTCAGTGCCCCTCAACCCCACCCTGCCCACCTCACCTCACTCAGGCTCTCTTCACTGTCCTCTCAGCCTGGATCTCTGGAAAACCAGGAGCTGGGGCCATGGACAACATGCCAGCCCACAGCTTTGCACCTCCATGCTGGCGGGGGGAGGTCCCTCTCCAGCTTCTACTAGCCCAGTTGTGATGAATCTGAGTGCCACCTCATGCTGACAGTGGCAGAGGTCTGGGCAAGGTCTGCTACCCAGACCTAGCCACCCTCATCCTCCTGCCTTCCTGGAAGAGAGAGCCATCTCTCGGGGAAGACTAGGTAATGAATGGAGGGCTATGTCAGAAATGTAATTTCAGGTGGAAACAGAACCAAAGAAAAGGCAAAGGCATGAAGATTGGGAAGCAGGGAAAGCAGCTTTGTTAGAAGAGGAAGGCTGTCAAAGCCGCTCTGAGGACTTTTTTTTTTTTTTTTTTTTGTCTTTAAGAACAGGCAAGGCAGTCAGGCAGTGGCAAAGATCCCGAGGCAGTGAGAAGCTTGCTGTGAATAGGAGCTGGGACCAAGCCAGTTAGCTGCTGAGTCATTAATACGGTGGATGTGGGCAGGGAGAGGCCATGAAGACTATGCTGCGGGTGCCGGGGACATGGCTCGGTGATAAGGTTTTTTGCAAATGTGAGGACATGAGTTTAGAGTCTCAGCACCCATGTTAGAGAGAGAGAGAGAAGTGGCTACACATACCTGTCACCCCAGAGCTACAGGGACAGTGGCAGGAGAATCTGTAGCAGTCGCTGGCCATCGGCCTAGCAAGAGCCCAGCGAGCAAGGAGGACTTCTGAGAGTGCCGAGTCCTCCCCTGGCCCCTTCCTGCTGGCTGAGCCGCTTCTCCATTCTGGCTGGCGTCTTTTGAGAAAGTCTGCTGTCGGGCAGAACATGGAGGGGTCACGGGCAGGCCACATCTGAGAAGCCCCCTTCTTTGAGCTGAGGGATAACGGGGGAGTCAAATAAGATGGAGAGTTTGTCTCCAGTGAAGCTTGGATCACGATAACTTTCTTGTTCTATTTGGCTGAGTTTCAACAGTGGTTTCTTCCCATCACAGGCTGTTTCATCCTCATTAATTTTTAAAATATTTATTTCTTTGTATGAGGGGCCAGGCACACATGCATGCCAAGGGACCCTTGTGGAGGTCAGGGGACAACTGCAGGAGTTTGTTCTTCCTTTCCACTGCACTGGTCCCAGGGCACAAACTCCCTGGCTGAGCCAACAAACAAGCAAATAACGAAATTAACATTTGTTTGCCTTGTCATATTCCAAAAAGTTTCCTCAGTGTTTCCTCTTCATGACTTGGGGTCATCCACATGTCATTTTGTCCTGGGCATCGGTGGTGATGCCCTCTGGGCACTGAAGAATTGTGGGTGCCTCCTCTCCACAGCCGCATGTGGCTGGCCTTGGGGCTCTTGTGTCGCATCTCAGTGTTATACTGTTACTTGCTGTCCTTGTTTGTTTTTCTCTTTGTCTTTCAGACAACTTTCTTTCATTTGCTTTCTGACTGTTTTTAACAATTAATATTTAACTTTAAAAAAACAAATAGGAAGGAATAGATGACAAAAGAAAATACATTAGAAACTTCTGTATAAGTTGGTGTGTGCAAGTATGTAAAAAATTCCCTAGTCATGGAGTTTTGTTTTCCTTATCAGCTGTGCCTTTTAGAAAAGTCAGTTGAACCCCTTAACCCTGTCTTGACTGTGAACTGAGGGGTCTGACGGTGGGACATTTTAGCACAGGGTGGCCTGTAATTGGGCTTCCTTGACAACCTCCTGAGGGTGCTACAAAGTGACATGTGGGTGAGTGGGATGGCTTTGTGGTCCAGGGGTTGGGTGGGCCAGAAGAGAGAGGGGATGGTACCAGCTGCTGTCCTTGTCACGAGGTGGGACGAGCTGCTCACGCTGGCCAGTGAGCCACAGGAGCAGCATGTGCTGCTGGCTGAGCAAGTGGATGATGCCACCAACGGCCTCCTCAGCACCCTGAGTGGCTCTGCGCTCTGCACCACTGCTGATCCAGGTAGGACAGGCCAGCGTCCACGGGATCCGCTTCACCCTGATGAAGGGGGGCATGGGCTGAACAGGATGTCCGAGGCAAGAGCCTCTCAGGGAGGGTGGCTAAGAGAGATAGGCAGCCCTTTCCCAGGCACTCTGCTCTGTCTCCCTGTGGCTGGCTTTCTGGCCTTCCTGCTGGAGTTCTGACCTTGTGTCCATAGGGGAAGAGAGGCCTGGGGTTTAGGGTCAGACTTGAGGGCCCCTTTCCTCTGCTAGGGAGGGAGAACCAAGTCTGTACCTTATCCATGTGGAGGAACTCAGAGCTTTGGGCTTATTAGGACTCCTGTCTGGGTCCACCCCAGCACTAGACTGACACCCTGAGAGAAAGGGCCTGTGTGTGTGCTCTGTGTGCAGCTGGGGCAGAGGAAAAGCTGACACTGCTCCACCACAGGCTCCATGGGGAAGGCTGGAGTAGGACCCTAGGCAGCCCCTCTGGGGAGTGGAGCGGCACCCTCTGTCTTACGGTGGGGCATTCTCTGTCACAGACTGCAGGGTGGAGGCCCACCCCTGCGAGCGGAAGACACTGCAGACCGTCAGAGAACTCGCCGGCAATGCCTTATGCTGGAGGGGATCACGGCGGGTGGACTCCGTGCTGGTCCTGCGCTGTCCCTTCTACAGGTCTGTCCATATGGTCTGCGGGCACAGACACAGCACAGGGGCCGTCCGCATAATTCTGAGAGCTCTAAAGCTGCAGGAGGACCAGCACTCTGAGTCCTGGGGCTGACATCGCTGGGAACTCTGGGGAACAGGAGGGCACAGCTCCTCACTGTGGCTCTGCTGGTCTCCTGAGCCTTGCCTGCCCTGGTGGCTGCAGTGGGTTGCATTGGGAATAGATTGGGGGGTGGGGGGACAGGGAGGATGGGGGGTGGGGGTGAGGGTAGAGCTGGGTGGTGGTGGCAAGTGTTTGTATCTACACCTGGGGGCCGTAGAGACGACCCACATGGAAGTCTCTGTGGACATAACAGCCTGAGGGGCAGTGTCATTCCCCATCACCCCTACCACCCCCAGCTTCAAAGCTTTCTAAGCAGAGATTTGGGTCTTTATGAGGCCAACAAGAGCAGGCTGGGTAGGGGGAGAGTTTTCTCTGAGGAGCTGGCTGCTTGGTGAGTTCTACACTGGCAGGCCTTCTATCTAGCTTATCCCAGGGAAGTCCTGTCCCAGAGGCCAGCTCTGTCTCTGGGCAGGCAGCCTGGGCAGGGGCTTCAAAGAAGGAGGCCTGTTCAGAGAGATCTGGGGCTAAGGCCCTGAGCCTTCTTGGGGGAGGCCATGTCAGAGGCTGTTGGCTGCCAAGGGGAGCTTTCTACCCAGCAGCGAGGAGCACTTTCTGCCATAGCAGGGGAGGGGCAGTGAAGGCATGGCTCTGGAGTCAGGGGGCCAGTGTTCAGCTCCTAAGCCCGTGTGGGTTTGGCTGTCCCAAGAATGATGGCCTTTATGCTACCACAGGATGCTAGTGCTCAAGAGGACCCAAGACAACATCCAGTATGGCGGCTTTCAAATCCTCGTTGAGCTTTGGGGTCTCTTGAAGACAGTGGTCTAGACCAGATAGAAGCAGCAGGGCGAAGGGGCGGACAGAGATGCTGGAGACAGCTGGGCACCCTGGTTCCTCGAGCCCTTTCCCTCCTTGTCAGAGCTCCACAAAGCACAGCTGAGCACCTCAGAGTGCTCTGATAGAGAGGAGGGCTCTGAAGACCAGTAGCAGAATCCAGACCCTTTTCCCAGAATCCCTGCTCCCTGCCCTGCACTGATGACTGTGATGGCAACTCTGCGCCCAGCTGGCAATTTTGCACACATTCATTTCTGACATTTGTGTTGTTTGTTTTCAGAGACAGGGTCTCTGGGTAGCCCTCTCTGTCCTGGAACTTGCTCTGGCCTCGATCCACCTGCCTCCACCTCCTGTGTGCTGGGACTAAAGGTGAGCACCAGCACACCTGGCTCCGTTTCTAACTTTCAATGTGACGCCTAGCTAATAATGTGGTTTTGAGGGGGTGGGGAAGGGCCCTGGTTAATTGGAAACGTTCCCTCCTTGTACAAATAAAGGTCAGGATAGCCCCCAGAAGGAAATGAGCCTTCTGGGCTAAGACCTTTGAATCCTTTGGTCATTCTACCACTGAATTTCCTTGAATTGCAGCTGGAAGAAAGTGTTCCAGACCCACCCTGCCACCTGCTACAGAACCATCTGTCCGGGTATGTTTTGCCTCTTAGATCTACCTATTCTCTCTGAGGCTGGCTTATAAGGGACCCTGACAGCCCTGAGCAGCAGTTGGGGGTGGATGAGTTCCAGGACAGGGAGGATGGGCGCTCCTCTGCCTGGCAGTGTTGGGAGGGGGGGTATGGAGTGATGGCTTTGGAGTCACCCCCTCCCCCACAGCCAGTGTGCTTTGCATCAGTGAGATGAGTACCAACCGCACAAATGGCCTAACCTCCAGCGTTAACCCCGGGGATACACCTGAGAGTGTCCCCTCTGTCAAGTGCAGTTACACTTGACTGAGATCTGCAATACCCCTCTCCCACCCTCCACCGCAGAAGGCTCCATTCACAGCATCCTGCTAAGAACCCAGGAGCTATTACTCAAGAAAGTGCCTTTTCACTATAGAGTCCCAAGCAGGAAAGATTATCAACACCACTGAGCATCATTCACCATGGTCCCCAGTGTGCCCTCAGGGCTCCTCACCCCGAGGTCCAGTACCTCCCACTGTCCTGCAAGCAAAACTCACCCCTGAGTATTTTCTTTCTCTTTCTTTCTTTTTTCTTTCTTTCTTTCTTTCTTTCTTTCTTTCTTTCTTTCTTTCTTTCTTTCTTTCTTTCTTTCTTTCTTTCCTTTTTTTTTTTTTTTTTGTCTTTTTATGGGTTTGTTACCCCCTGTGAGGTAAGGAGCACAGATAGCAGTTTCCAGGCAGGGGGTGAGGGTTCCCAGCCTGGGTCAGGCAGGCCCCTTGGTACCTCCTTTCACAGGGTTGAGGCCCCAGCATGACTGGTCTCTGATCTAAGGAGAAACTGACACTGAAGCCATGGCTGTTCAGAAGTTGCAGGCCTCAAGTGAGCCTGACCTTCAGGGCGACACTTCTGCCCATGGAGCTACAGCTTCCAGTCTGTAAACAGAGGTTGAATGGCAGCTGCCATTTTTAGGGTGGCTATGAGGATGAAATGGGACCTAACATGGGTCTTACACGGATGGCAGATGCTCAGTTAAGGTCTCTGTGGCTGTAGATCTTGAGCCCCTGTGAGTTTCCCACGATGCTCAAGCTGCTGGGCATCGGGCCAAAGAAAGGGCACAGAATTTGTCAGTTCCTACACTGATCAGCCCAACCTTTAATCACAGGGATGTAGCCTTCAAAGCATAACGTCCTAATGCACTTTTGAACTTCAGAACAACCTGACTTTGGCATACACTGGGCTTCCCTGTGTTTCACACAGGCCTTGCGGAAGCCTCTCTCGCAGTCTGCACTGTGTTCAAAAGCAATTTCCTGCTGTCTCTGGAGTATTTGTCACACACCAGGTCACCCCATTAATATGTCCACTAATAACACGAGTACAGTGAGGCTTGGAGAGGAGAGTTGAGGTGCCCACAGAAGAAGGGGCTCATCACAGGGCCGCCTGGCTGCAGTGTGTAAAAGCTCATCCCTCACTGTGCCACGAGGCAGAAGCCTTAGGCCACCATAGGCTGTTCTTTAACAAAGAAAGGGGCCCTTCAGCCCACAGCCATGCAGTCACCTTGATGCTACTGAGATCACCAGCCTAAGTGACACATGAGTGAGTCAGCACGGCGACCCTGAGCCCCTCTGGGCCTTGTCAGCAGCCTCAGGAAAGGACAGCCTGCACCTGCTATCACAGTGCGGTGGGCACAGATCCATAGACCTGTCCTCCACTGTACTTGCTGCGGGCCTTGCTGCACCCAGTCGTTCTAAGCATCAGGTTCTTTCCTAGCTGTGGGGGTTTGGCTGGTCCAGCTGGTGTGGGCAGGGAGCAGGGCCACCCTTCAGTCAGTCTCTCCACCCTGTGCCTGTGCCCTTGGCTTTCAGTGGGTATCTCTCTGGTAGGCCCCTGTGACTCCCGGCCCTGCCAGAATGGAGGCACGTGCATTCCGGAAGGTGTGGATAAGTACCACTGCCTCTGTCCGCTGGCATTTGGAGGGGAAGTCGACTGTGGTACGTATACCCGGGATTCCCAGGGTTGGCCGCCTGGGGCCTGGCTTCACCCTTCTTGCCGTCCCCTGCTAGCTGCTGGTAGAGAGGAGCCCTTACATGTCAACCTACCTTCTTTCCACATAGCCCACTGATCTGCCATAGGGCACAGCCTCAGGCTCTTGGGAATAATCCAAATGGCAGCACCCCAATAGAGCTGTGGAATAGCCTCTGCCTCGTGTCTGAGCGTGGCTGTGGCTTGTTTCATCTCTAGCAAGGGGCCCTAAGGTCTGGTTTAAACCACACAGTGAGGATTCTACAAGCCTTAGCTCATTGGGGGTGCTGGGGGTGGTGAATAGATTAGGTGACATGCTTGGCATGGTGCCCAAACACTTGGTAAGTGGCTTTTATAAGTGTGCAGTTATCTTCATCAGCAATCCATGTAGAAAAAGCAAATCTTGTACTTCAGACCTACTCAAAACAAGTCCAGAATGATAGCTGCACATGTAAAACACAGAACAAAACAGGGACACTTATAAACAAATGTGGGAGCATGTTTCCACGATCTTAAAAGCTGACAGAGATATCTCGGCACTCAAAAGGCATGGTGGGAAATTAGATTAGGGGATGGCTGCGTCAGCTTTATAAAGAGCAGCCCTGCATCCCTCAACAGAATCCCTCAACAGAGGCGGGAAGCGCCGGCCACCCAGTCCCAGGACCACCCTAGTGACAATGCATCACTGTGATTCCCACAGCCCCGAAGTTGAGCCTGGAGTGCAGGATAGATGTCCTCTTCCTGCTGGACAGTTCTTCAGGCACCTCTCCAGAGGGCTTCAGCCGGGCCAAGGCCTTCGTGAAGCGCTTTGTGCAGGCCGTGCTGAGCGAGGAGTCTCGGGCGCGCGTCGGGATAGCCAGTTACAGCAGGGATCTGATGGTGGCTGTGCCCGTTGGGGAGTACCAGGATGTGCCAGACCTGGTCAGGAGCCTTGACAGCATTCCCTTCAGGGGTGGCCCAACGCTGACTGGCAGTGCCTTACTACAGGTGGCAGAGCATGGCTTTGGGAGTGCCAGCAGGACGGGCCAGGACAGGCCACGCAGAGTGGTGGTTCTGCTCACCGAATCACACTCGCAGGATGAGGTGGCTGGGCCAGCAGAGCACGCAAGGACTCGGGAGCTGCTCCTCCTGGCCTTGGGCAGTGAGACGGTGCAGGCGGAGCTTCGGGAGATCACAGGTAGCCCGAAGCACGTGATGGTCCACACAGGCCCTCAAGACCTGTTTAGCCAAATCCTGGAGTTACAGAGGAGGCTGTGCAGCCAGCCGGGGCCAGGTAAGGCCGTGCAGCCTAACTAGGCCTGGCTTGTCAGCAGGCAGGCCCATCTGTCTTTCTGCTTGGCACCACTACTCATTCTTCTGTCTAGTGCCTGTGCTGAGAACCAGAATCAGTCACACAGCCAACAGGGCCTGAGTGTAGTACTCTGGGGGGTCTTCTCAGGACGACGAGATAAGACAAGTGTGTGCACACTTGGCATGCCCACGGGCACTGCTGATGGTAGGCACAGCCACCGACTACACTTGATGATTGTTATCCGTCTCCAGGAGTTCCGAGTCTGCCCCGCCTGCTTGAGGACAGCAGCCTCCTGGCCTCCTTGACAGTGGCTTGTTAAAGAGTACTGCGTCCTTGGGACATGTGTGACACGCACACACTAGCTGCTGCACCCTCAGACACAAGCTAAGGCAGCATTCGATAAGGCGGCTGCTACCCTGTCCCCCTGGCGTGTGCTGTAACACTTCCCTGTACTATTCTCTTTCACTACCCGTGGGGCTGATTTGGTGAGTAGCGGTCAGTGGCCAGTGGCAGACCTGGGAGAAGGCATGGCTGTGCAGGGGCTGGGCTAGCACCGGAGGTGTAAGAGCTGGGACACATCCTGAGGAGGCCGTGTCCGTGCTCCCCGGGCTGCTGAGTGGAGGAGACGGCTTGTGGGACTTAGTGCCCAGGCTGCGTTGCTGTGCCCAGAGGTGAGCGTGCCCTTCTATGACAGTGGTGAGGACCACCATGCTGCCACATCCTGTCGCTCTTGGCCGCTCTCCTGTGGCAAAATGACGTGGCTTTGGTTTGTACAGTTACAGACTCAGAGAAGATGTGCTGATGGCAGAGGGCCCTCAATCTCTTCCATTCGACTGTTATTACAGTTAACAGACTCGGGTTGATAACTTATTAGTACGGGTGCCTTTACTCAGACCCCTTGGCTTTTTACCTGATGTCGTCCTCTCATCCCCAAATGCCAGCAATGGCCCCACAGAACAGTTAGTGGGCCTGTCTTCTCAGAGGTGTGGCAGGTTCTTCATTTTCCTTGTGTCTGGTGTGGTTTTTAAAAGCTTAGGCCGCTAGACTCTCTGACTCCATATTCAGACCTTCCCAGCGGCTCTCTGTGCATATGAATGGAACCGGAGTGCCTTCCTCCAGCGTCTGGGAACCTCCCGGGGTGCAGTCCCTGCAGCTCCCACACCCGAGGGCAGAGGAAGGCACCTCCCTGCTCAGGCACTCTGCCTGTCAGCTCTCTCCTCCTCTAGAGCCAGCAGAAGTGTCACCTCCCCAGGGAATCCCCGAGTGCCATCCCAAGGTTCCCGCTGGCCCTTTCCTGCTTTCCCCATGGTGTTGCGGACTCTATACCACATTCATGCTCACTTCCTGTCCATATGTCGTAGACAGCTAGTCCGTAGAGGGCAGGCACCAGCCTGTTTAATACACATGATGTCAGTGCCCAGTGTGCAGTGGGCAGCACAGGGAGTAAGGGGGCAGGTGAGCGTACAGCTGCCGAGTGCTGCCATCAGGATTCTGTAATGTGGAAGCTTCTTTCAAAGGTCAGAGGTGAGTGACCTGGGCCAGCCATCTGTGGCTTCCATGTTGAGGTACAAGGCCATCGTTTCTCAGCCAGCAAGAAAAAGATCGGGGACAGGGGTGGAGGGCAAGCAGCGCCCACTTGCACGTGTTAGAATTTGTTTAGTTTCAAACTTGGCTATCACATTCCAGCCGATGGAGACTGCAGCACGGTCTTTCCTGGTGGCGACAGAGGTTGGTGTCATCAGGATGGCCGTTGTGTTCAGGCTTTTTCTAGGGGAAGGCTGAGCTGTGGCTGTGAGGAAAGTGTATACTACATGGGCAGGCTGCACGCTGGCTGACCTGAGCTCTACCCAGCCTGGAACAGCCAATGCTGTGCCAGCCAAGTCACAAGGAACCTGTTCTGTTTGCTCCTGTAGGCTGCCAGGCACAGTCCCTGGACCTGGTCTTCCTGCTGGACGCTTCCGCCTCAGTGGGACCTGAGAACTTTGCTCAAATGCAGAGCTTCATCAGGAAATGCACCCTCCGGTTTGATGTCAACCCCGATGTGACCCAGGTTGGCCTGGTGGTATATGGTAGCCAGGTGCAGACAGCCTTTGGGCTGGGCACTCATCCCACCCGTGCTGCCGTGCTGCGGGCCATGAGCCAGGCGCCCTACCTGGGGGGCATGGGCTCTGCTGGCACAGCCTTGCTGCACATTGGTGGCAAAGTGATGACTGTCCAGAGGGGGGCCCGCCCCGGTGTCCCCAAGGCTGTGGTGATGCTGACGGGCGGAAATGGGGCAGAGGATGCAGCTGTCCCTGCCCAGAAGCTGAGAAATAATGGCATCTCAGTCTTGGTTGTGAGCGTGGGGACTGTCCTCAGAGAGGCAGTGCGGAGGCTCGCTGGCCCCCGGGACTCCCTGATCCATGTGGCAGCTTACAGTGATCTCCGGTACCACCAGGACGTGCTCATCGAATGGCTTTGTAGAGGTGAGTGGGAGAAAGTATGCGTCCTCTATGAGGCTGTCTGGAGACAGGACCTCTGTCTGAGCCTTTACACACGTCACTGTGAGGAAGACAGTGCCCTGGTCCCCACATACCATGTGTTGGCATTCCCACAAGTTCCACGTGTAATTATAGTATACATTTTGAGGGTCGAGAATCCAATGTCATCAATCACAAGCTAAGCCGTTGCTGCAGGACCAAGCACTGAGGTGCCCCACAGTCTTTAAGACTGAGCTGGGCTTGCTCTGACCCAGGCTTGGGTCCTTTGCAGAAGCCAAGCGGGCAGTCAACCTCTGCAAGCCCAGCCCATGCATGCACGAAGGTGCCTGCGTCCTGAGGAACGGCAGTTACCGCTGCGAGTGCCGGGCTGGCTGGGAAGGCCCCCACTGTGAGAAGCGTGAGTGGAACCCTGCTGTCCAAGCGCGGGGGGTGGGGGAGCTCTACAGACTCGGCAGAAGGCAGGTTGTGTCCTTCAACCATTCGTTCATTCCCCCATGAAACCCTTGGGAAGGGTCTTACATACCTCAGGCAGGTTTTTAGAGTAGGAGCTACGGGCTGGTAAGACAGAAAAGCTTCTGTTTTAGTACGGAGAGGCAGCGAATGGAGCAACAGTAAAGCCCATTAGCACGTTTACAGCCTACCATTAGGAGTGCACTGGAAACAACATAACGGGAGGGAGTTGGGCCTGGGCTAGGACCCCGGAGAGATCCAGAGCATGGGGGATAGTGTCACAGGATGTGGGACCAGAGACACAGAGGCTGGTAGACACAGCGTGGCAGCTGGTAGCCAGGCTTCTTGAATATCTCCATTTGTTTGGTGACATGAGGACAGCTTGTTGGCCAGAAGCGAGGTACTGGAGCTTTGAGAGGAAAGTAGCTTTAAGGAGAGACAAAGAACAGACTGGCTACACCATCACCTGTGACAAGAGAACCCATAGTTACAGCTTTCCAACTCTTGTCTTCAAGTGGCCAAGGAGGTGGTGTGGGCAGCTGGATGGGAGTCTTCGATCTCACACCTTTCACTTTGAGGAGTGGGGGTGGCTAAAAAGTCCATGAAGTAGTTACTGGTTGGGGGAAAGACTCAGAAACACCCTCAATTCATTTTCTTTCCTAGACATCATGAGAGGAGATGCTCCCGTGGCATATAGCTTCCACCAACAGCCCACAGGAAGACAGCGGCCAACCCCCTCTCAGCAAGCTCCTGGGCATCCCAGAGTTTGAAAGGCACTGTCCTCAGCCCGGTGCATCTCCTGGGGGCCTGGAGCATCTGCTGCCAGCTCTAAGCAGAGCCGTTTTGCCCACAAGCCACAGGGGACGCTGCCTGGGACAGTAGCAGCCACAGCTGCCACTCACGGTGGTGGTGTTGGAAACTCCTAATGTGTCGGTATTTACTGCCCCGGCTCGTACCTGTTTGTACCTTGTTGAGGTAAGCTGTCTGTCACCTTCCTGAGGATAAGAGGCAGGCCTGGGAAATCCAGTGGCCTGTTTGAGGGTCATTTGGCACATAACAAATGCTAGACAGATGTTGACACGGTGGGAAGACCTGGAGGAAGGCATCTGCCAGAGCACACCACACGGTGATGGTGTAAAAGGCGGGCTTCCCTATTTCCAAATGCTAGCTCACGTGGATGCAGGAAAGGGGATTATGTGTCACTTGTGACTTTCTGGTGACCAGATCTGTGTATGTGAGAGGCCTAGGAAGGTCTCAGACAGCGATTTGACCAATTAACCAGCTTGTGTACAGGGGAGGGCCATATTGTGCAGAGAGCCCTGGTCTCAAAGGGCCCTGTGTGACCGGTGAGGGTGCCGGGCACAGGACCTTCAGAAGGCTTTCCTTGCAGAGGTGTCTCAGGAGCAGTTAGTGGCAGTGCGGTTCTTGTCCTCCTTTCAGTGGTGGCAGTGACAGGCAGGGTTCTCAAACTCAGCCAATGAGGGTGAAGGGGCGACCAGGAGGTTCGATTCTCAAGCCTATTGTGCTTCTCATGCCCAGGCCATGAAGGGATTTTTCAAGACAGACTGGTCATTCCTTCGTCAGGAGAGTTTGTGTCTGTGTGGCAAAGAGGAGTCTTTGGATCTCTTTGGCCCACTATGTACCTAAGTCTGCAGCACTCACAGGCCTGACCTCCTGCTTGCTTGTGCTGCTTGGAGCTGGGGCTTCGGGAAAAGCTATGTGCAGAGCTCTGCGGGCTGCAGGACAGCGTTGGAGAAGTATTGGCAGTGCCCGTATCTACATGCAAACAGTGTTGAGCACTGTCCGTGTTCTGGGCGTCAGTCTGTCTGGCTGAGACACTGCCCCAGGTTTGCCGTATGCTTTCCCCACTTCTAGACATTTTTTTCCTTCACAGTTAGACTGTGGATGTGAATTATATTGTTTTGCAGTACATAGGCATTTTCGCATGAGAGCAGAGCTAACTTTACCACGGCACACCAGGGTCCCCAAACCTCTACCCTGCTGCAGTCCCAGGATAGTCTCAAAAGGTCTTGTCACCGTCCACATTTACTGTTTCTTTGTCATTTTGCTATTTTACTTCACTTTGGTGTCGTCTTTTTCTTCTTTAATTGCAGTACCATGTTCAAAGAGTCGGAATTTGGTTTTGTTGATTTTTAAATATAAAATAAATACATTTATGTTATGAATTTCCTTAATCATTGCATAGGCAGTCTTCTACATATTTGTATGTTTCTTTTTCCCAAGAATTGCTTGTGAGCCTGTTTAACCTCCAAAGGTTCAGTTTCAGCTGTCTGTATGAAATCATCTTCTGGAGATGTTTCCTGTGTGTGTGGCACCTTGTTGATTATACGATTAACACGGCTTTCAGGTTAGCAATTAAGGGACCCCAAAGTTTCTTGCTAGGCCACCCATGTGGCTCTGCCAGTTTTTACAGTATATATTTTGAAGTTCAGTGTGTAAGTAATAAAGACCTTTGCCCTGTGTCATGCCAAGAAATACAAGGGAAACCCAAAATACAATAAACATTTTATTAAAAAAAAATCTAGCTTAGCACTTGGTAAAGATCACCAAGTGTTTATGATGTAGGGGATAAATGCCCTGGGATTAGAAAGACAACATAAGCATAAAAACATTTAGCCTTCAGAAGCCAGCGCTAGCTAACTGACTCCGAATGCCCGGAAACAGAGCAGGGAACAGATGAAATGTATCAGCATGTGTTAATGTCATCACAGAGGGACAGGAGGGCAGCCCTGGCTGCCAGTCTGAACAGACAAGAAAGGCTGCTCTAATCCACTGCTGTTTTCCTCGCAAGGGGACCGGAAATTAAAAATACCTTTCAAATGGGAACGAAGAGGTAATCAACTAACTTTTTTTTTTTTTAAAAAGTGGCCTGGCCTCAGACAGAGTCTGTAAACACAGGGACTTTTCCCTCATTATAATACAGCATTGTTTAAAAGTTTGTCTTTTAAAGGCGGTTGAATCAGGACTGCTGTGGACTTGGGGGAAAGTCCTCAGTGGGGTCAGAGTGACTCAGCTAGGTTCCATCCACTACTGATTTCCAGAGTTTCCACCACTGGTGGCAAATGCTCCTTATCATCATCAGAGACCACACTGGGCCCACCAATGTGGGGGACAAGCGTGGAGGCAAGGGTGATTTAATCCTTAACATTGCCAAATACTGGATAAAAGATAAAAGAAGTTTAGATTTTCTCATCACCAAGAGCCATGTGGCCATTTTTTTCACTACTTAAAAATTTCAGTAAGAAATAGAGTGATGGATGAAATCCTAAAAAAGGAAAGAAAAAGTACAATGTCTTACTGACAGCCAACAGATTTAGTCTCTGAAGAAGCCGCCGCTGCCACCACTGTGTTCCCTGTCGCTCGAGAAGGGTCAGTGCGCTTCTGACTGAAGCTCCACCGCAGGGCCTCACTCCTTGCTTTTTCCTCTAAGCAGACTCACCTTTCCTCAGAGTTGATGTTTTTTTCGAAGCAGGATTGTCACAAGAGTTTTTAGATAATTCTTGTTTTCTAACTGGCTCCTTTCTTCTCCCATTCCTAGAGTACCAAACATAAAGCACCCCAGAAAAGAAAGTTATCTTCTGTACTAACCTCCATTTAGGTAGAAAAACTATAAGCTCTAAAGTAGTTACAAATAGAGCTAGCCTCATCAGCCGAATGCTGTGATTGATTAGTGATGTCTGCATGCTCAGGGAAGTTGAGGACTGATGTTTCACCATGGGTGTGGGTGTCTGACTTTCTCAGCAAGGGCATAGGGCAGAAATAAAACACAAAGTGTGTCAAAGCCAAAGCAACTGCAGGCGTGCTCCTTACTGTACAAGTAAGGCTTCTCGTTCAGCCCTCGGGGAGAAACTATACCATGTGCTCAGCCCCTGTTTTTACTTTATTGAGCCTTTTGTCACTGGCGGCTTTGGTTTTGATGGTAGAAACCTTTTGGGTTGAAAACATTTCAGCCACAGCCTGTCTCTAGAATCTATTACTGAGTGGAAGGGAGGTCATGGGTGGAGATGTCCTCAGGCTCACTGGGAAGAACACGAGTTAAGCATAAGACCTCTAGTTAGCCAGCAGGAAGACGGAGAAAACACACTCACTCAGCACTAGTGCCCAAAGCCACCAAGTTCCACCTGCCACCAAAGAGGGCCTACCGTCCTGCTGACCCTGGAGTCCGGAGCGGCCTCTTACCTTGGCTTTCTGCAAGACAGTGCCTTTGCCTGTGACCATGACAGAAAGTGGCCTGTTCTTGAGCACAGAGGCAGAGTTGACTGGGGTAGAGTCTGGAGTGGGGGTGGGGGTGGCAGCTTTGGGCTGTGGCTAAGGAGAAGAACAAGGGCTGGCTCAAAATGTTTGTATATCAAACCTGCCCCTCCCAACCCTTGTCAGGAGCCCCAGTGCCCAGCACTCACCCGAGGGCTCACGTTGTCCAGGTGGGTGGTATCCACAGTGGTGCCAAGGGTCACGGGCCCGGCCTCAGCCTTCTTCAGGTTGTCCTTCACATCCATGATGCTGAGCTCAAGGTCCACACGCCTGCTCTCCTCAATCCGGCACGCCTCGTCCACTTTCCTCAGCTTCTGCTCCAGGCTGGCCAGGACTCCCTTATCTGCAGAGAGAATCAAACTTGCTGCAGAGGACAGGATTTCAGCCCAAGCCAGGGAGCCAGGCCAGGGCTTATATACATACTTTCTGGACCCCAGGTCTGGCTCTAACACAGAAGGGCAGGAGTGGCCTTTCAGTGGGCAGCAGAGCCTCATGGCTGACATCCAAGTTACTCTGCACAGACAGGGAGGGCTTCGGAGGGCATGAGCTCTGCACTCTCAGCCTGAGCCCCTCCTGGTAGGTTCTAACCACTCAGTTCTATCCCAAAAGAAACTTTTGCAGTGGTCCTTGGATGGTGGCTGGGACCCTGTCGCCCTGTCCCATACTGTTCCCTCCACACCCTGGTGCTTCCCAAGGCCTGAATGCAGTTCTCAGCCATGGCATTTCCTGGGCCTGGAGTTAAACAAGTCACTGCCAGAAAAATCGATTGCATCGGCTATGTTCACCACTTAGCAGCCACAAGAAACTATTCTAAAGCTTCATGAGAGGCAACCAACAGCCCTGGGTGGGCCACAGTTCAGAAAAACAGAGAGTTAAGCACTGCCGTTAGAGATGTTTGGGATTCTGAACTCATCAGTGCTCTGAAGTCACTTTCTTAGTGTCTGTGACTATAAGACTACAAACTTAATTTGCCAGCAGAATAAGCTGTCATGAGAAATGTTTTTTTCCCCAATCTGGAATATCTGTCAGAGAGATGAGGAAGCCTAGACCCCTTCCTCACAGCCCAGCTTGTATTGAGGGGACTCCAAGGACTGATATGAGGAGTCTCTGTCACCTGTGTCCCAGCCTTCTTCCTCCTGTGAGGTGATCACCAACTTGTACAGACTGAGAGGTACCCAGGAAACCAGTACAGCGCCTGCATGTGTAAGGTCATCCCCAGCAATGAGCTCACAAAGGCTTGCAATCAAGAAATATTTCAGTATTTAATGGGCTATGAAGAGACAACAGAACTGGGTGGGGTGGGGCCTTGGAAGAAGAGGGTCCCCAGGACAGGCCTTTGAAGGGTGAGTTTGGGCCTAGCTCTGCTCCTCCACAGGCGGAGACAGCCCAACCATGGACTGCGGCCTCCCTCCTCCTCAGAGTTGTTACTTCAGATATTACATCATAGCAATAAGAACCTCACTTACAGCATCTAGGAATGTTAAATCCCAAAAGCAAGGGGGCGACTACAGGGAGCGGCTGCTTGCAGAGACGGGCTTTCTTTGGGGTTCGTATATTTGAATGCCTGGCCCCTAGCAGGTGGAACTGTTTGAGAAGGATGAGGAGGCGTGGCCTTGCTGGAGGAGGTGGCATGGCACTGGAGGGCGGGCTTTGATGTTTGAAAAGCCCATGTCATGCCCAGTTGGCTCTCTGTCTACTCTGGTTCTGTCTCAGCATATATGCTCTCAGTTATTGCTCCACTCATGCCTGCTGCTGTAATCCCCACCATGACAACCATGGGCTCAGTCCCTCTGGAACTGCGAGCCCCACATTACATTCTTTTTTAAGTTGCTTTCGTCATGGTATTTTGTCATAGCAATAAAAAAGTCAACAAGACAGCTGCTAACTGAATGTTTGTGTGTGTGTATACTGTTCTGTGCATGTTTGTCACTGCTGGACAAACGGGCTCTGTCCTGACAACTAAAAACCTGAATGACACTATCCCCAAGACTGTCCTTCACTTGTCACCCATAAGCTTCTCAGGAACCTGTTCTATTTGTCCTCAAACCTGCTATGCCAGTTGTGCTTGCTGGTGCAACTCCGTGATTTAAAAAGCAAATGAGATCCAGGTCAAGTAATTCTGAAAGGCCTCAGAGCTCAGTTGCTGAGAAACCTCCCTGAGAAGATGTGAGACTTTGGAAAATCATCCGGAAGGCCTCAGATTCTTTTACCAGTGCCTCTGATTTTATGCACTTAAAACAACAGCCTGGAAATTAAAGAGTGCACTGCAGGTGTGGCTAGCGTAGGGCTGACTTGGCACACCAGTCAGCTGACCCAGATCTCACACCCAGGCTCAGCTGCAACCTGGGGACAACCTGATTCCCTGCCCTACCTGCCAGAGCTGAGGACACCGGCCCAGGGATCTGGGCAGAGACAGCCTCAGATAGAACCAGAAGCAGAAGGGCCTTTCCAAGGGTGAGGGGACTCGGGCCAGGGGAGGGGGATCCACAGGCAGATGACAAATGCAGAGTTCCCTACCTGTACATCTTGACAGGGCCTCCTTGAGCTCCCGCTTCTCTCTGCGGAGCTGAGCCAGGTGGCCCCGGATCTCCTCCTTACTCCTCTCCAGTCTCTCCTTCTCCTCCGTGTAGCGCTTCACCTCTGCCTCTGTCCGGTTCTTCCCAAGTTTGATCTCTACAGACCCAGAGAGGGAACGGCTTGCATCAGCAGGAATGGATGAGGTCTGACCTTTGGCAGAAGACACACTCACACTGGATGCCAGCCCCGCAGAGATGGGAAGGTCCCTCACTGTAGTCGTGTGTTTCATGGCAGGCTCTTTCCCCTCTTTGAGCCTTAGGCCTACAATGTTAAGCCTGGATCTCGTCCACATACCTGCGCTGGTCACCCTCAACCTGTCCTTCACAGGAGGGCTGGCGCTGGCGGGGGCAGAAGCCACCGTGTCTGGGCAGTTGGCTGGGAAGGAGATTCTCTGCTGCTCGGCCTGCAGCTTTACCATGGTGATTCTTGGGGTGGGCTCCGTGAGCTCTGAAGACTCCTGAGTCTCTAGCTGCCTCTGTGCCGAGAAAAATCACACACCACTCCATGACTGCAGTTCCTGGCAGGGTGGCTGGGCACCCTGGATGGGCTGGCTCATACCTGCTGCTCCCCCAGACCTTCTGGAGACTCTGTGTGGGGATCATCCAGGGTGGTGCCCGGTCTTGGGTCAACCGTGAGGGACTCCGATGGGTCATCCAGATGCACCTGGGCTTCCTCACTGGGGCTGTGCAGGAAGGCCCTGGCAGGCGTGAGATCCAGGTACACTCGGTCAAGCTCACTCTCGCTGGTAGCATCAAAGGCAGGGGTGGCTTCCCCAGCAGGCTCCACCTTCAGGAAAAAGCTGGTTTATTGCCCCATTCCCTTGGACTCCAGTCTTCTGTCCAGCTCAGGCTGGAGTTTCTGGGTAGCTCCCTCCCTTCCAGAGGAACCCTCTGTGGAGTCCTGGGTAGGATGTCAGAGTGCAGAGGCAGAAGCCTCAGGACAAGGCACCCATGTAAAAAGGAAAGTGACAAGTCTTTCTAGAGGGGGTCAGGACTGAGGGAGCGGGAGCTAACCACCCTGCAAGAACTGCTCTGTTCCAGAACCAGGCCCCTGCCGCCAGCATGCCCGGCCTACCCCAGCCACCACTGTGGACATGAAGGCTAATGGTGCCGCTGCTCCCACCCTGTACTGACAGGTGTCCTCCCACCGACAAAATAAGCAAGTTTGAGCCACACTAAAGTATAAAGGCAGGTTTATTGGGGGCAGCTCTTGGGCTAGGGAAGTCACCATGCAGACAGGGAGACAGAGAAGCAGGGGAGGAAGAAAGGGCGTGCACATGCAGAGAGATAGAGGAGGGAGAGAGAGAGAGAGAGAGGACCAAAATGTCTGGATTAAACAGTGAAGACAGAGTATGCCAGCCACGCCCTGTAACAGGTAGGGACTGAGGGATGCTAGGAGGATCTGGAGGCCAGCTCTGCTCTGGTACATGAAATAGGCACCTCAGCTGCCTGTCCCAGCTCTGAAACCCAACACATACTGCCTACCATCTGTGCCCTGCCCCTAGCACTGACCAGAGCAAATAAATGGGTATTTTCTAGCTAGGTCTCCAGTTGGGTCAGCCATACAAGCCCATGCGTGGCAGGAGGACCAGACAGTACATGCCACTGTCCAGGGGCTTACCACTGCTGTTAGCTCTGACATCTCCACATCATCATACAGGTCTTCCTGGGAGGCCCGGCTGGGCAGGCCATCGATGTATGTGTTGGGCTCAGAGAACTTTCTCTGCATCAGTCTGGAAGACATATGTAGGCACATGAAGCTTCCGTGACCCTGTACAATCCCACCAGCCTCAAGGAACATGGAATAAAAGCTTGGCGACACAGACATCGGAGATAAATGCCTACCTACACCCAGCTAGGGCCCTCTCCTTGTCGTGGTTCTGAAATTCTTGGGTCTGGATTTCCCCTCCAGAGAAAACAAACTTCCTTGCCACCCCAAGTCTCTTGTCAGACTGCTGCAGCCTTCCTCCCTTCATACGCCCATCCTAGTGCCAGCCACAGGGTGCCAGCACTTTTCACTCCCACAGTGCACCTGGGCTGCTCAGACAAGATGCACCCCATTCTGAACATTAAGGAACCGGAAGCACCTTCTCCAAGACACTCCTGCCGAAGCCTGTCTGCTCATCTGTAAAGTGGAAATGCCTGCCTTGCCCTGCATATCCCAGAATGCACCAGTGAGGAGTCCAGGGGCAAGGGGAAGGCAGGAAAGGCGCCCAGTCTGCACTTGGGAGCTGGGGAGCCTGTGGGGCTCCCCAGACTGTGGGGCTAGCCCCTATCTAGGTCTCCCTGAGGGCTGTGCCGTGCCGCTCCCCGCTTCTTGCTCTGCACCTTCCTCCTGCAGGACAAGCAGGACTCACCTGACCACCTGCTCTCAGAGGTCGTGCTGCCCTAGCTACCCATCAGGCCGAGAAATAAGGCTGGACTGGAAGACTGCAAGGACAGGCCTCTTGTTACTCACAAGAGAGAGGTTTCGGCCGCACTCACAATACAGGAAACCCTTTCGGCGTCCACATAGTCGTAGGTGAACTCTTCCGGGCCTGTTTTGGAGCCGGACTCTGAGAGCAGAACGTCTAGCCAGTGGTCCATCTCCTCTGAGGACTTAGCCTAGAAGGACACGGGAGTCACGGATATCCTGGCCAGTCTCTCCCCCTAGGCCAGGACAGCTCACTCCCGCCCCACCGTCAAGCCTGAGGCAGCCTGAGCAGGGTACCCTCAGTTTTATCAGCAAACCTAAGTACTGCTTCCTGGCAGTGATGCCATGGTGCCACTCAGTGACACTTCAGGTATCTGTGGGGAGCATCACATGGTTTAAGCTGATAATACACTCTCAAGGCAAGGACCATGGAAGATTGTCAGGAGTTAGCATCTGTTGCTAAAATTGTCGGTTCCTGAGTAACTGTTTCCATTGTAGGTCAGTCTGTTCCACGGACAGCCACTGGTCCTTTGTCATCTTAACCCATGCACACACAGACTGTCTTTATTTTTGTTTACGGCATCAATAAAATCAAGGAACCTGAAAGGCATACTGCAAGAGCAAGAAGTCCTAATTCACTACCCAGTTGCAGCACTTCTGTGTGCTTCCTTTTAGGGGGATGGTACACCCTAAAAGGATCCATCGAACCGCAGACCCAGGACACTTCTATCCAAATGCCAATATTATTTCTTGCCTTCATGACAAAATATAAGCAAACCGGGAAAGAGTGACGGGCTTATTTTCATGAGCAAAACTGGCTACCCCGCTGGCACACACGTCCTACACCCCTCTCAGGTGGCAGCTACAAACCGAACCTGACTTCTGGTCGCTGTGACATGCATCCTCACTGTCTGCTTGGCTGGATTTGGAAGTATGCAGGAAAGACACCTCTGGGCATCTTTGTTTTTTCTTTTGTTTTTGTTTTTCAGGACAGGGTGTCTCTGTGTGGCCTTGACTGGCCTGGAACTCACTCTGTAGACCAGGATGGCCTTGAGCTCACAGCTGGCCTGCCTCTGCCTCCCGGGATCAATGGTGTACACCACCAGCACCCCACCTCTGGGCTTCCACGAAGATTAAGTGAAGAGGGAAAATGCACCCTGAAGGTGAGTAGCCCCGCCCCGTGTTCTGGGGGCCTGCGCTGAATAAAAAGGAGAATGCATGCTGAGTGCCCGCATCCAGCTGTCTCCAGACTGTGGGTGAGGTGTGACTGGCCACTCACAGCTCTGTGGCCATGAGTTCCCCAATCAGATGGACCGTTTCCCTTCAAACCACAAGCCAAATCAGTTTCTCTTTGCTGCCTTGTTTTATGTCAGGCATTTATTCACAGCCACAAGAAAAAGAAGACGGTTAACTTCTTTCCAACTGGATTTCTCAATGCTGCTTTTCAAAGGCATCTTCTAGGCCGCCACCCCGACACTGGGCAACTGCAGCAGCTCTTCCTGTCTACGTCACCAACACTTCATGGCGCCCTTCTCCTTCCCTGAAACTGTGCTTAAACTGCTAACTGTGCAATTAGCCAAACATCGTCACACTACCAAACTAGAAAATAAGTCTGTGAGGACAGACACATCATCCAGGGGGTAGACTGGCTTATGAATGGATGACTGTGTCTCTGTGAAGCCGTGGGTGCTGTGGGTGTCCCAGCCACCAGATGGCAGCATTGAAGCAGACTTTGGGAGATGCCTGACCACAGACTGAGTGGATGGGATAGTTAGCAGGCAAGTGCCAGCTTGCCAGTAGGACCTTGGGCCCGCCGGTGGGGCTCCTTGCAGACTGGCATTATGTCATCCCTTGTTTTTGTAACTTTAACAATGCATGAAACCAAGGGCAGGCAGAGGCCAAACTGTAATTATATCACAGAGCAAATCCTGGTCCCAGATAAAGTCCAGCAGCCCTGATTTTTGTGTCCTGGGCCTCTGGGTTCTCATGACTGGCAGCACAGAAAGTAATTATCACTCCTTTGAGTTTCAAAAGCCTCTCTGGTATCTGCCGGAGGGATGAGGGGGGAGGGGTGCCAGCGGCTAACAGTCCTCCCCGGCTGCCCTTAGCACAGAGCGACGCCCATGGTCCCACCCCTGTTACAAAGCCACCACCCTGAGGTCTGATGAGAATGGGCATTTTTAAGCAAACAATTGCAAGTGATGGAGGTAAACACAACATGAAGCCATGCTGGTCGTGCCCCAGTGAGCTCCCGGTCCTCAGCGTTTTGGGTGGACATCAGAGACTGCCCGCCCCCTTGGCTGCCCTTCCTGCCTGCCCAGCAGCCAACAGTACCTCAAGCTTGACCAGCTCCTCGCCATTATGGAGGATTCGGAAGGAATACAGGTGGTCGGGGCTAGGGTCTGGCAGCACGTCACAGCCCAGCAGGCGGAGGGGCTGCTGGGCCACCTTGCTCCGGTTCCGGTCCTGGTAGAAATGCAGGTGGCTGTCCCTAACGAAGCACCAGCGTGACTTCCACTGGCTGTTCACCAGCACGTTTAGGTAGCCTGCAGAAGGGTGTACAGACGGGAGGGTGAGGCCACCCTCCTCCTAACACACATCTAAAGAGGATGACCCTCCTAGCAAGGGACACTCTCCGACAGGGACGTGGCTGCAGCAGGACCTAGAAAACCATGGTGTCACCTTTTCAGAGCTGTCACACGTCATCACTGACACTGTGACTCTCAAGAGTACATTATTTTCTAACAGCCAGACCCTCTGAGGCAGGCAGTACAGCTATCCTGGCTCTTGGCAAAAGTATGACCAGAGGAAAGAGGGATTCGGCCTCCATTAGACCTAGCTGTTGAGTACACGCAGAGGACCCAGGCTCTGCACCTCATCTCCATGCCTCTGTGCTCTAGCTTCTGGTACTCAGGTCAAATCTCCTGGCTTCAGAGTCAGGCCTGCTGCCTGCGCAGCCTTGGTTTCCTCAGCTCCCCTGATAGTTTGACCAGACTTAACTCACAGTGCCCAACCCTCTTCATTTCTCCTGAGCAGGAATGCCCATGCCCTCTCTTTCCCTGACTCAGTTTTCCTTCTGTGAAAACATAGAGGGCTTAGCAAAGTTCCGCTTCTAAGCTGACCTCCTCCTCTGGACACGCGTGTCTCTCCAGGAACTGCAGCACCTCTCCACAGTACCAGGTATGCATGTTTTAGCCTTTTGACTGGCTCCCGCTTCGCCTGCCAGCACCAGGGTACACCTAGGACACCCTCACCCATGGTGGTTGCATGTATGTGTTCAGCTTCTCAAGGTTTACTGAGCTGCCACCATACAGCAATGTGGCCTTGTCCCCGAGGGACGGACAAAGATGAGCAAAACCTGGCTTCCAGGCCTTCTGCATGCCTGTGTGGAGCAGGTTGTCTTCTCTCTGAGCCTTCTCAAACACACAGGCATATGGAACAGGTCTTCTGCATTCTATGTGACTGGCAGCTGCTCTGAGCACTAGCCAGATAAGCAGGAGGTAGATGAGAGCAGACATCCTGCCCCATACAGAGCTGGCCACACAGTGGGAGTGGGGATCATGTGTGCCTCTATTCCATGTCAAAATGACATCAAAGTGCAGGACTGAGACCCCAGAACCTGCACTCCAAACAGATGCTACTGTGCCCATCACAACCCTCTGGACAAGAGAGATGTAGATCAAGGTAGTGAGTGCTAAGTCCCTGAGCACTGATTCTCACTGCCACGTTCCCAGCCTCATGTGAGAGGTCACGTGAACATGCAACAATCCGGCTCATCTCAGACACTGGTGCGCTGGGACCAGGCCCCCAGGCCATGCACTGTGCTTCGTAAAGCTGCAGTGACAGGTGGAAGCAGGCTGCTCTGCAGCCTGGGAAGCAGAAGGCTCCCGAGGGGAAGCCTTGTCTCCTACCCTGTCCTTGTCAAGGAATAAGAGAGCTGGGGACTCAGGAAAGAGCCTGAGAGTGGGATAGAGAAGAAGACCTGGAGTGAGGAGCAATGGCCTTCAGGCCCCAGGGGTGCTGCAGCCAGAAGCCCCAGCCAGGGGAGTAAGAAGTTTCGTACCAGGATGTTCTCCGGGCCTGGCCTGCCTCCTGCCTGACCTCAGCTGCTTTAGGTCTGAGTGAGAGGAGAGATGGCCTGTGCGAGCCTGGCAGCACCCATGCTTGCTCTCTGAACCTGCTGCTCCAGCTTCCCATGGTCCCCAGGTCTTGCCTGGCCCCAGCTCAGAGGTCCTCCTCCAGCTCTCACGCAGTTAAATCTGCTCAGCTCCCACCTGCCCTCCAAGGTCAGCGCCATGACACCATCTCTGATCCCAGGGAAAGAAAGGTTCTCTATGTCCCAAATCCTGATGACCATGAAGATGGTCCCACATGTACTCAGGTGAAGGGCCCCCCACCTACCCTGTCCAGCACTGCCTGCCATACCCCATACTGCGGAGAAAACAGGACACTTAACACTGAGATGGTACCAACCACGTACCCCTCACTTCCCCAGAGGAACCAACAGTGCAGGACAGAACCTGGTGAAGCATAAAGACCAACCCACAGGGGACAGCAATCCAGGCTCCGGCTCTGTGTGCTCTCCAGACACAGAGTCCTCTGCCTTCACTACCTGGGCTCACCGCCCCAACACCCATACCGTCACAAGGCCCAGGCACTCGTTTGCCTTACTGGATGTCTCGAGGGATCTCTCTGGTGGCTCCAGTGATGTAGACTTCTTCCTGCCCAGGTTCATCAGGTTGCTCAGTTTGAGGCCGGTGGAACATTTCTTCTTGACTATTAAGATGAGAGGGAAAACTATCAGTGTAGGACACAGCCTACCCGAGCAAACTCATCTCCACCGCCCTCCACTCAGCCTCCCCACTCCACGCATGTGCACACAGGCATGGGTGCACGTGAGCATATGCACCTCCCGACTGAGGACTGGGAGGCCACGCCAGCTATTCCAAAGTCGCACACGCCCTGGGGATGCTCAGCATCTCAGTGTATGTGAACCCTGGGACTCTTTACAGCCTGTGTGACCACAAAGAGGTTTGAAGAAGGGCTGGAGAAGGGCTCAAAGGATGTTCTCTTCCCCAGCCTGTGGCAAAACGTAACTGGTTTGGCCCTCTCTCCCTTCGTTCTGTTAGTCAGTTACCCCCACAGCAATTAGAGCTGCACCAGACAGCCAAGGCTCACACCCTAGATGCTGTTGCCATCTCAACCGTGGGATAGAGGCCCATAGCCTGGTTACCGTCTTTGGTCTCTGGGACCTCAGGATGGCCATCAGTGGTGTTCCCATAATCCGAAGCTGACAGGTACTTCTCAGCTATATCTGGCTGCAAACAACAAACAGATGGACAGGGATCACCTCCTGGGACTGGTTACCGTGAGAAGTAAAATTTAAAGCGAAATAAGCAGCTCTTAGAGATTACCCATCCAAGCCTCTGCCAGCCAGAATTGAGGCCACTGGTGGGACACTGGCCAAGCTTCCATTTGGGACTCTCTGGAGCACCTAGCATCATTCTCCTTTCTGAGATTCACCTTCCCCCACTGTCAGAGTACCTCCCCTGCCATCCTATTTGCAAGTGCTCCAAATGGCCCTGACCGGACAGTAGGCCCATCGCCAGTGGGAAGCTGTGCCTGCAGGAGGAACCCTCGTCCTCGCCCAGTGGAAGAGAACCCAAACTCATTCCTGTTGGCAGCAAACAGTGAGTGAGACCCGAAGGCACCGGCCCCTCTCAGTGGCCCTGCCTGGCTGTGTGGCCTTCAGCCTTCCGAAGAATAAGGCGGCCCCACATCTTCCTCCTCCTTGCTTAACTGCTCTGTGGACACTCTTGCTCCCTGCCTTGCCAGTGCTAGGGACACAAGAGACACCATGCTCCTGTGTGCATACGTGCATGCCCAGGCGCGGGGCTTCCTGCCTGCTGACACGGGGATAGGAAGGGGTGCACAGGTGAACTGCACCTGGCCTTGAAGCCAGGGCTCCCATAGCTCTGTGCACGGAGGCTGCCAGGCTGGAGCTGCTGGCAGGGATCGGCTCTGGGATGCTCCACCGGAGGCTAGGGACCGGTGGGGGAAGAGCTGCAGCCTTGTGAAAGACATCTTTGGCTCAAGAATACGGAGTAATTCACGAGAGCCAAGCTGCGAAATCAGTCTAGGCTCCATCCGCAGAGGACTGAGGAGAATGCGGCATGTACACATAGTGGAGTCTTATTCGGCCACGGAGAAGAATGGAACCGTGTCATTTGCGGGAAAAGGAATACAATTAGAGATCGTCACGTGAAGAAAAATAAGTCAGACTCAGAAGCACACACAGTGCAAGCTTATACAGATACATGAAATAACTTGCATATGACACGCACGCGGCAGCTGTGCGGGGGCGGAGGGAAACACAGGGCTGGAGATGTGTGACAGGCTTGTGTGAAAATGACTTTCCAAACTATCACTGTGTGCATTGAATGTCCTTCACCAAGGTTTTATATAGAAAAGGAACACGGGCAAAGTGAGTTTTGTTTCACTAACATTCTCCCTTAAGCAGGACAATAGTTAGGTCTGTAACCGTGTCATCCATTTCGGCCACTCTCGCTTCCTGCCCTTGCCCAGGCACTGTGTGTCCCTTATTAACTGGGCTGCAATACAAGAACAAGGCTGCTTTCAGTTTTACACTCTCAGTTTTTACCAAGAACACCTGGACCTGGGCCCTCCCTCCGGGCAGGGGGAGACATACTTTCTGACAGTTCAGGCGCTGGGCATCTGGCGTGTACTGGTTTCCCTCTGAGGCCCCTTCGGAAGGCAGGCAGCTCACCTCCTGGATGACCTGGACCAAAAAGTCACCATGAGCAGAGACCACGGCCCTTGCATGCCCGTGCTGCCTGGCCTCACAGCAGGAGAGACAGAACCTCAAGAACAGCAGCACCCATGCCCTGGTCACAGCCCGAAATACACTTCCCTGCGGAACCCCCTAATCTGGGGGTGTGAAGGGACCTCTGCATCAAGGTCCCACAGGTTACAGCAGCCTGTGCTGGGCTCCATGAACGCCCTTTCTGCCACCCTGAGGGCTGCTATGCTGTCTTGGGGTGAGCGTACAGTTGCTGGATGCCTCCCTGACTTTCCAGGGCTCGGGGCCCACTCAGAGACTCCACACCACCTGGAAGCAAGCATGGATACTGCTCTGATGTAGGGTCTGCACACTTGCTGGCCACAGGTCACCAGCCTCGGGCCACCAGCCTTGGGCCATTTCACCTTTCCTAGAAAGGACGTGATTTACGGTACTTTGTGTCTAGCCTGGGGACACACAGGTCAGGGGTGGCACTGGTCTCACTAAGCAGCTATGCAACTCCCTTCTGAGCCCAGAGCTATCTGGGGGATTCCCAGAGGGGGAAAAGAGTGAGAAAAGGCAGATCCCCTTCCTCCACGTGTGTGTCACATGTTTCAAGAACCATCCATTTCTAGTCTCTGCCTACAACCGTTTGTGGAAGTGAGTTTGAAATCAGAGGATGTAAAACAAAGACAAACAAGCAAACAGCAGGGAAGCTTGGCTCTGGGGAAGGGGAGATGGGGCATCTCTCACTTCCCAGCTAGCCCCCAGCTAGGGGCTCAGACCCATGATAACCATGCAACATTTCATGGGAGGGAGGCAGGTGTGGACTCAGCACCTAGCTCTGTGACCCCAGCGTAGCCTCAGTCACCGCATCTGTGCCCGGGAGGACCCCGTGCAGGACAGGCGCCCTCACTCCTGTCCTTCCTGCCTGAGACCATCCTGCTCTGTGGCAGGCGTGGGCAGCTGTGGGCGGCTGCTCAGAGCCAGCGCCACCTCTCCCCGTCTGCCCAGGGAAGAAGGGTTTCTCTGTGCAGCGGAGATGCAGACCTGGTGTCGCCTGAGTCATGCTCTTGTCTTTGAGCCCTCCAGAAGAGCTGTGGTGCCAGGGAGAGCGGCAGGGGTCAGGAAGGAGGGCTAGGTCTGAGCAGACAGAACAGCCCTGGGAACTAGGGCTAGGAGCGGTGTACATGTGCATATCCGCATACAGGCACAGGTGTGTAAACACGTGTGCACGCTCGTGGGAACCTGTGCACTTAAGAGCACGAGTATGCGCAGGACTGCCAGGCACCAAAAGGGAGAGCTGGGCAAGAGAAGGGAGTCCAGCCAGCGACTCAGCCCTGGCACCCAGACCAGCCCCTCGGCTCTGCTGGCCAAGTGCCCTGTGCTTGGCATACACTGTGCCTGGTACTGAGCACTTTGCGTGCATTAAAAAAACAACTTCAGATCACTTCATGTGTGTGTCTGTGTGTGTCTGTGTGTATGCGTGTATACATACATACACACATACACACAATACATATACATACACACGATACATACGTACACATACATTTATACACACAATACATATACACATACTCACAACACATATACACATAATATATACATACATGTGTTGTACATATGTACACAAACATATATACATACATACATATGTGTGCACACACACACACATGCATGCATGCCAGCCTTGACTTGTCAAAGTCAAATAGTCTCTCAGGAATCTTCCAGATCCTCCAAACTGCACATCTGTTTGTATAATGGCCTCCTCTGCCCTACACAACAGTCTATAACCACCTGAAAATTATTCAGAAAGGACTCAAGCACCTGTTTCTCCTAGTGGACATGCTTGGCTAGACTTCTCAAAATATTTAGTGGTTTCACAAAAACAGCTGTGTCAAATCTGGGGTGCTCAGCACCTGGCCAGCACCTGGGTAGGTACCATTTCTAGTCATGTTTAATAAGTCACCTCAGGCTCCTTTGTGACAGGCTCAGTGATGGCTCTGCTTGGCCAGGAGGGCTGGGGTGGTGGCTACAATGCCACAAACACTCATGTGGGCACAGGGGTGGAGCAGAAGGCGGAAGCAGGCATGGCAGAAGGTGGCGTGGCTCTCACGGGATCACCAGGGCGCTGGTTGGCTTTGTGCCCTTGCCCAGCTGGGAGTCTTTTCTTGCTTCTGGATCTATCATGCTCAACACCTTTAGCTCGGACCCTCCCCAGCTGCTTCCATGTGGAAAATGGACCGCAGAGCGGCAGAGCTCCTCAGGGGCACCTGAGGTGGCAGGGACCGTGTGCCAGGGAGGCAGTGCTTGCTCTACAATCCAGCTGCGGCTCATTTGCCGGGTGACGGCTCCCTCTGCCTCCCAGCCTTACTCTCCAGTCCCATGAAGCAGGCTCCTCAACACTGCCTGGCTACGCCCAGGGTTAAACCTGTTCAAGCCCACGGTGCATAAGCCCACAGAAGCCGCACATACCTACTGCCCGTTATCACAGAAGAATGTGATGCCTCATCAGAAGAAAGACAGCAAAGGGATTCCAACTACAGCCAAGTCCTGGCTTCCAAGGATTTGGACTGAGCAGCAGGAGGGTCTGCAGTGGGCTGTGACACTGATCTCCAATACTCAGGATGCTGCAAGCCCAGAGCACCCGAAGGACCCTTTCTACTCTGGACCACATCATCCAGGACTCCAGGAGCCCTTCTCTTAGGCCCTGGTGGAAGCAGCTGGGCCCTGCAGTCCGCTTACCCGAAGCCACTGCTCGGCCTGGTCCTTGCTCTGCAGGCCCAGCACAATCACATCCGCGTTCATGGGCGTGATCTTCAGCTTGTGCTCTTTCTTCCGCACCTGCTTCTCCTTGTGCACGACGCTGCTGCCCAGCAAGCTCACATCTAGCTGAGGGCTGTGGTCTTTGGATGATTTGTAGCACTGGAAGAGAAAGGATGCGACTTTGCCTAGGTACAGGTGTGGATTCTGCAAAGGAGAGGCCCCTGGACACTGAGATGTCCCCGCTCCTGGAGACTGACCTTATCTCCAAGCCATAGGGCTGAAGACCGTAAGGCAGGCCTAGGGCCTTAACCTCTGCCAGCCTCTGTCCAGCTGTCTGTCTCTCTGTCTGTCTGTATGTCTATCTCTCTGTGTCTCTCTGTCACACTCTCTCTGTGTCACTCTCTGTCTCTGTCTGTCTCTCCCTCAAGCTCCTTCTCCCTGACCTTGACCAGGGATGTCGAAGAACCTGCCTCATTCAGATAGTTCTACACTGCTCTGGCTTCTGACAAGGGAACTTCTCCAGTAGAGCCGTGAGCCACTTACGAGATGCTCTGGTCAGCAATGGATTGCTGGAATGTACACTGGCTTCATGAGGATCACATCCTTAATGTCACAGCTGTCTTACGGTCTAGCTTAGCAGATACCAGAACTCAAAGGAGGGGACCATCATCCTCTACCAGAGAAGAAGCCTTGTCCTTCAGCATCTCCTTGTAAAACAAAGGTCCTCATAGCACAGTGAGATAACATCACCCAAAATAACCTCTGCACTGAGGCGGACGCACTGCGGCTAGCGGGTGACGCTTATAAAGCCCCCGAGTTCTTGGGTCAGGACAGGGGCTGTGAGTCTTCGTTCTGTTTCGAGACAAAGTCCTGCCCAGGCTGGCCTTGAGTTCTGAGACTCAAATAATCTTGCCCCACACTTTGAAGCAGTGGACCAACCACACCTAGTTGAAAACTGAATTTTAATTTAAAATACCAGGAAGTGCAACTATTGTCAGAGTCAATCTCTGGTTCCTCTGCAGGTTTTGACTTAGAGTAAGTAGCTCTAAGTTTTGTAGTTCTTGGGATGATTCCAACAATTCTGAGGTTGCTCAAACCAAAGCAGCAGCCAGGACTGAGGCTGGAGCTGGGCTGAGGAAGGCACTGGGAATGTACCTTTCAAAAAAAATAATAATATATATATTTTTTTAAAGCAAGGAGACCCTGTATTGGGACATGTCTGTAATCCCTGCCCTGGAGATGCTGAGGCAGGAGGATGACAAGTTCAAGACCTGCCCGAAAAAATAAGCAAGTGCAAGGGATAGGATGGAGAGAGCAACCTTGCTGCTTTCACAGTTAATTAAAAATTATTACATCTTCCTAATTCAGACAAAATACGTTCATCTACACATGCAAAATTCTGCACATTTTCTTAGGCTAGGAAAACATTAAACTCTCCTGATAGCAAAGGCTAACCCCCCATGTGTATCAGGGACCACCCCCTCTCCCACTGCCCCTGCAGCACACAGTAAAGAAGAACACTAACCAAGAGCCTGGTGTCCCTGATCACACACAGCTGCTTGGCCCACTGGCCTAGCCACTTCTTCCGCCACAGGAAGGCACAGATGCGGGCATCACGCATCAGCTCAATGCTGGCCTCAGGCGAGGGCCACTGGTAGGAGACTGTATAGCCTTTGCTGTTCTCCTCTTCATCATAGGACTCGTAGGAGCTGCTCACAGCCTCTCCATCTTCTGCAAGGAAGATCCACCCAGTCAGTCAGGGCCCAGCCTGGCATCTGTAAGCAACATGCAGGAGGCAGCAGGCAGGAGCGGCTGGAAACCCCAGGCTGCAACCATCTGGCCTCCCATCCTTGAAAGAGCTCAGCAACGTTATGTCCCCAGCCCACTTGAGGAAACTTCTCAGATACTGACTTGGACCACACAGCATATTTTCCTGCCTAGACTCTGTCTTCACGACTCCACAGACAACCCCGTGAGATGTGGCCGTCCCGCTGATGAACTGTATCATAGCCCTATGGGCCCCTGGCTCCTCAGCTAGTGGGAATTCCAGATTCCAGGCTGGGTCAACCTCTGCCCCAGGTCTCAGAGGGACCTGTCTCTTGCAGGGGCAGGTGGGTCAGAAAGAAAAGAAAAAGAAGCCACATAAACCATAGCAGGAAATGGCTTTCTTGGAAGCGGTTGATTTCCTTGTTTAGGGCATGCCCTTTACCCTAGTGAAGTAGAGACAGGTGGGTCTCTGAATTCCAGGTCATCTTGGTCTACATAGTGAGACCCTATCTCAAAAGAAAAACAAAAATAACAAAACAATGTCCTGGGTTCTGCTCAGAGCCCTTAACAAATCTGCTAGTTCCCTGGGCCACAGCCCCCGGAACAGCCCTGAGCTCCTGACCTGGGCTCTATCTTACAGCTTCTCCTACCACCTGCCAGAGGCTGCTTTATGTTCTATCTTAAAGAATCCCTCGACTCAGCACAGTATAAACTGCATGATTTGGCGCACACTTCTCCTTCTTCCAAGGTTAGCTCCTAGCCCTATTGTTCTGCAAGCATGGCTCTCTTTTCTAGCCCCACCGCTGTGGTCAAGGCCAACAAAAACCATACGGAAATCAGTCTTCCTCCTACCCACACATCCATTCATGCACGCATGCATCTATTCATGCATGGGTCCGTGCACCCACTGACCCACCTACCCAATGCATTCATCCATCCATGCATTGATGTATCCAACCATGCATGCATCCATGCATCCACCCCTTCATCATGTATACATCAATCCATTCATGTAACTGTCCTTTAAAAAGCATCATGGGAAAGAATTCCTGGATTCCTGTGATGGTTCCCTAGTGATCTTGATATTCTGCCTGGAGTCCCATGGACAAGGAGCTGGATATCCCTCTATCGTTAGACACGCCCCTCCGCTCAGAGAACCAACGGCAGTGTCCTTGTGCCTCCATGCCATAGTTCTGGTCTCCCTGACACAGACTGAACAACAGCCCCTGCTACCCCGTGACTCACTTCAAGAGACCACCATGGGCTGGCCGCTTTATCTTTCTAGCTTATTAGTTAAAGAGTTGCAGTTGAATTAGAATATAGGAAAGTGGAATGGGCCTACTGTGGTAATTATTCTAGTCACTGAGCCAAACAAAATGTATTTACTCTGTATCCACATTTCCAAAAGTAACACATCACCTGCATCTTCCTGGCTTACCAAATACATAGGAAAAAAGGGTCCAGCGTCCATAGCCCACACCTGTTATAGCTATTGACCACACAGCGATGGAAAGTCAGGGCACCTTCCAGAGGAGGGCCCTGAGCTCTGGGGTTGCTGTGGTACCGTAAACTCACACAAGCCTCTCAGAAAGCAGCCTGTTGTTTCAGAAGCCACAAAGCATCCCTACTTTCTGATCCAGTAATCCCAGTCTGGGAACTTATCTGCGGAAACTAACTTTGAAAAAAGAAGAGGCAGAGCTGCAAGATGGCTCACTGGGTAAGGGTGCATGCTGCTGAGCCCGACACTGACTTCCACACGGGTGCTGTGGTATGTGTGTGTCTCGTCAGCCCCTATCTCTTGCTTTCACATAGGAGTAAATATAAACATTAAAAAGAGATTGAGCTGTTGCCTGACCTGCAGGATTCTCTAGGCTACAGCCCAGCACCAAAATAAATAAGCAACAACTTAAACATAGGACGAAGAAACAGCATGGCGAATGCTGCCACTGCAATGCTGTTTAGCAGCCAGCAGCCGGGCCTGGCTAAGTCAGTATCGTTTTCTCTACCTGCAAGTATCACCACTACCACAATCAATTCAAGCCCTGAAAACTAGTTTGCACCTCAGTGACCTCCCTAAGAGAAGAAGGCAAGGAGAAGGCAGATCTGCAAGCATGCAAGCAGACAGATCAAGAGGCAAGAGAGAGCTCAAGGGAGCTAATTTGATGGAGAGATGGGCCGAGTGCCTAGGCTAAGTTTCAGTCCTTAGCATTGCAGGATCTGTAAAGAGTGAAGGGAGAAGAGTGGCCTGGCCAGTGTGATTCTTCCCTCCAGAACAAAAGTGCAGCCGAGAGAGGCTGCCAGGCTAGGTGTGAATGCACTGGCTCTGTCCCCAGGGCCCAGGCCTGATGAGATGGCCTCATCTCATGAGGAGTTCTGATGGTGTGAGGTCCCCAGAAGCTAGCTGAGGCATAACAGCTAATCCTAGTACAGGGAGTAGCTCAGGAATTTTTAGAGCAAATACATTAACTACCTTATTTATTCTTAGGAAGGACAACAGCGCCTCATTAATGTTGAGTTTTCTTAAAACAGACCTCTCCCTGGCTTGCAGGGGTGTGGGGTGAGGAGGAGTGGCAGGCACAGATCCTGATGTATACCTCCTGGTTCCATGGGCACAGCTTTCTAGAAGGCAGAGTGTGCCACAGGCAGGCTTTACAGAATGCAGGATTGTACGCTCATTGGGAAAGTGTACCCCAACGATCATGCAGGACCAGCCGAGGGGACAGGACAGCATGGCATCCCAGGGCATGCACCCTTCTCAGAACAGGAAACCTTTGGCTCTCAACTCTGGGGACAAGCAGTACCCAATTTGATTGTGGCATAAATGACTCCTTCCGGCACCTGTGCCCATCTGGGGACTCCAGTAGGGAGGGCTACTCCATGAGGACCTGTGTGATTGATGTTCAAAGGCACAGACAGAGGGTGGAGAGAGGGAGGGGTAGGGAGGGAAGGAGGGGAAGGATGAAGAGAGATGCAGTCATGCACAAAGACTCAGATGTGGTATGTGACTGCCTATCTCTAGAACAGTTCTCAACCTGTGGGTCACAACCTCTTTGGAGATTGACTGGCCCCTTCACAGGGGTCACCTGGGACCATCAGAAAGCACAGATATTTATATTATGATTCATAACAGTAGCAAAATTACAGTTATGAAGTAGCAATGAGAATAATTTCACGGTTGGGGTCGCCACCACATGAAGAAGTGTATTAAAGGGTCACAGTTTCAAGAAGGTGGAGAACCACTGCACCAGAGGCTACTGCTGTCCCCTCTGAGGTGTGGACTTACCACGAGAGGCTGAAGATGCCATTTACAAGTTCTGTTCACACCTAGGTGACCACAAGTCCTCAGCCATGGCATGTGGTCAGAACGATGTGTGTCATGTCTGGCTATTGCTTCTAAGAAGCAGGCAGGCATTTTCTACTCCCTCTTTGCAGAGAGGGAGCTCTGGACTTGGAGGGTGGCTGAGCCAAACATTAGAGGTGCCGGAATACCTAAATTACACAGGCTCAGAAATGCTATACTGCTCTGAAATCAACACAGGGGAGTTAGGTGTTACCACAACTGGTCTTCCCCAGCTTGACACATCAGGATGAAGACCCTTGATATCTTGGGCAAACAGAGGGTCGTCACGTCTCAAGCACACAGAGAGGGACACTAGTGAAACAGCACTGGGACACTAGTGACAAAGCAGGACAGAGTCCCAGCATCTGGCCTTGTCAACGAAGCCAGCACAAGTCCGTTGGCCAACCAGCTAGAGCAACACCCTCGCTCCTTCCTCTTGCTGCAACCGGTCACTCTGCTCAGGCAGGTGTGGGGACAGCGGTGAGGGCTGTCTGGTTTACCACTCTGACAGTAAATAGATAAATAGAGAACAGTAAAGTTCTCTGTCTCAAGGATGTTCAACTCCCCAAACTGTCCCCAGACCTTGTGATGGCAGGAGATATGGGCAATCTTCCCGCCACCTGCTTCCCTGGCCCAATTCTCCTGGTGAGTTCAAATTGACACAGTGAGAAGCCCCAAACCAGGTGGCAGCCACCAGGTGGCGGCCAGCAGGTGGCGGCCAGCAGGTGGCGGCCAGCAGGTGGTGGCCAGCAGGTGGCGGCCAGCAGG